TGCTAGTCCAAATGGCAACACAAGGAAGCCTATCTTTGTCAAGGTTTTCCAGAAGACCAGAATTAAGAAGACGTGTGTATATGTGTTTTTTACATATATTATATATATTTTATTTATGTTAAAACTGATTCATTTTAAGGAATTGTCTTACATGACTGTAGGGGCTAGCAAGTCCAAAATCTGTAGGGTAGGCCTGCAGGCCAGAGACCCAGGGAAGAACTAACATTGCAGTTTAAGTCCAAAGGCAGCCTGCTGGCAGAATCCCCTCTTCTTTGATAGAAATCAGTCTTCTATGAAGGTCTTCAATGAATTTGATGAGGCCAATCCTCATTAAGGAAGGAAATCCACTTTAGCCCACTGCTCTAAATGTTCATCTCATCTAAAAATTACTTCATAGACTCTAGATTAATGTTTGTCCACATATCTGGGTACTGTGGTCTACCCATGTTGACACATAAAAGTGAGCCATCACAAATTCCTTTACACAGGATCTTCTCTGGCTGCAAAGCGGAACTTTTTGGCATTTGGCAAGGATAGTCAGGAATATGACTTCCTCACAAGTAAATAGAAATAAGACCACAGATTTACAACACCTACAAGTTACAGAGATACTTCTGACAAGTTGAAGCATTTCACAAGGATAGTATCATTATTTCCATACTTAAACTCCTAGCTTAGAAAAGAAAAAGCCAACCTAGCTAAAACTGCAGTAGGAAAAAATACTGAGGGGAAACTGCATGGGGCCAACATGTAAGACAGTGGTCAATGAAAACTTGTGCCACCACACTCTGTGAACTCGGCCAACTCGCTGGGCCTTTCTGAGCGCAGGCTTTTATATGCAAGAAGGCAGGACCAATTCTTATACCCAGGATGCTGGATTCTAGGGTCAATCTTTACTCTGAAATCTAATCAAAATTCATATCACTATGTGCCAAGGTTTTCCAGAAAACCAGAATTAATAAGATATGTGTATGACTCTTCAACTATTCATATGTACATCTGATGGTAAGTTAACTAAAAGCATGAATTCTAAGTTGTAGCTTATTTATAGCAAGCTATCTGTTCCACATTTTTTAATATTACCACATAAATTCACAGTCTTACAGAGTATTTGAGGAATGGATCATCTGGGACCCATATTTCTATCTAGATGATATCATTATGTTTTTTAGATAGGTAAGCGTTTAGTTAACTTTACCACTGTGCTAGTTTTGTTGACTCTTTCTTCATTCTTATATCTAAGTCACCTAGTAGGCCTTATAAATGCCAAACCAAAATACTTAGTTCACTGCCCTCAGCTAAATACGGGTCAGCAAGGCAACTGAGACCCCTCTACTCAGGTAAAAGATAATATCCATAAGCTACTTTAGCAAGGAGAGGTTTCTGAGGGATAGCCCATTTGAGGGCATTAAAAGGCTGGATGTTCTCCTTCACAAACACAAATGCACATAATTCAAACTCTGAAATCAGCAGTAAAGTACAAAAAGGAAGAATAGGAAATATAAAGATTAATATATGTAAAAATCATAAAAGTAAGTTTTTTCTTGCAAAAATAAGGGAAAAAAGAGAAAGTAAAGGTAAATTTATATTTGTTAATATAAACAGTAAGCTCACTTCTGTAATCCATGTGAACTAGCCCAAAGAAAGGTAAACTAGTCTATCTATGAAGATGTTAGTGCTGCTAAGCAGTATTTCCAGTTCTCCTAATGGGTACAAAGGGTATTTTCTTTCTTTACCCTTTCTTGCCTTGGGGTAGGGCTATGTAAATAATTCTCACCAACGGGTTCTGGGCAGAGGATGTGTGTCACTTCTCAGCTGAGCCATTTTACTGCGGAGGCAAGACCTTTCAGTGTTTCTTTCTTCTTGTATTTCTGGATTCTGGAAAGTATATATGATGGAAATGGACTCTCTACAAGTTTAAATACCTTAGTAACTACACTGAATACAAAGACCTTCCCTTTGACCTAACATGGACATGTAACATCAGTGAGAAATAAACATCTATTAGAAGATACTGGGATCATTTAGTAGTGCAATATAAACTAGCCTATGTTAACCGGGCATCTAAAAGGATCACTTGGCTCACTATTAGTATGGATTGCAAAGATCCTATCTTGGTTTAAAAACACAAGATTTGGGGCCAAGAGATGAACGTAACTAAGAACATGACCTTTCACCTCATTTTAAGTGAAAACATTAGTGATAATAAGTCACACAAAGAACTCAGAGATGTGTCAAAAGCATTAATCTCAAGTCAAAGCCCTATTTTCTGTTCTTCTGCTCTAATCCCAGTTCCAAAAGCCCAGAGGCTTCAGGAATGGGACTAAATACTACCCTCCATCCTAGGTGGTCCTAGATCTTCTTATCAGCTTTTTCTCACACAAGGCTGTGGGAACCCAGGAGTGGCTGCTTATAGTGCCATCAATCATATCTTCCATATTACCTACCTCTCATCTATTTCTCTTCCCTTACACAATACAAAGAGGGATAATTTTCAGAATCAGTTTTATCAAAGGCCAAAAGAAGGCGTGAGCAAAGTCTTCAGAAGTATGTAGTGAAGATACTGGAAAGCAAATTTAACGCTGCTAAGTCCTCCCAATTCATATCTCCATAGTATTCTTCTTATATTATTTGGAGTATAGTGAACTGTTATATCTCCAAACATATTCATATTCAAACATATATAACAGTCATAATAAAATCAAGTATGCATTTTTGTATTAGCAATAGCACCAACCACCTTAAATATAAAGGATGCAAAACCTTTAAATTTTATTTATTTTTTAAAAATTATTATATATTTAATAAAAATATATATTAAGGGTCTCACTATGTTGCCCAAGCTGGTCTCAAACTCCTGGGCTCAAACAATCCTCCCACCTAGGCCTCCCAAAGTGCTGGAATTACAAGCATGAAACACCATGCCCAGCTAGAAAACTCCTCAAATTTAAAATGGCTATGGTTGACTTTGCAGAAAGTTTTATATATACATACATGCACGCACATACACACACACACATATATATAAGTAAAATATACATGTAATACATATATATATAAAGTTAAATCTTCTATATATGTAAAGTTAAAATACATGAAGATTTTTAGAAAAGAGCATTTCAAGATAAGTAGAGTTTTATTAAGGTCACACATATAGAAATATTAATGAAATAAGATTAAATCTCTTGCTTTTATCAATATAGAATTCAATTATAATTGGTACCATTCATCGGCAAATATGTATTGTTAAAATACTTAAAAAGTTTTTTTTAATTTTAATTTTTGTTTTTATTCTAGTAAGACTGAACACTTTCAAACAATGCTTGGTCTTTTTTTCATCCTCTATTTATGACTTACTGGTTACTATCCATTATTTTTCATTGATTTTTAATAAATTTTAATATATAATATTGCATGGAAAAGTCTTAAAAATAAGTTCTCCTATGCCATTAAAATAATCAGGCGAAAAAAATCCTTTATAAATGTAAACTTAGCTCATCCTGAATTTGGACAAATTCTAAGACAATTAAGCCTAAATTAGTGAGTTTTTTAACAGAGAACTCAGCAATTCCGCTGATGTTGTTTTCCTCAGCATTTTTCAATTTATTGTAAACAATTAAAGATATCCATGAGAAATTAACAATGTTCTCTTTCAGTTCAGCCAGAGTTTTAAAACGGAGACATATGTTTTGCTAACTGACAAATGGTGGCCAGCATGAAATAAATTGGTGGCCTTGGTCTAGTTTCCACTGGACAGGTGTCCTCATCACAGAAACATTTAACTAATTAACCCAATTGGCACCTATCAGGGGGCAGTGGACAATCTCCTAGGTGAAATAACTGACTTCTCATTCCAAGAAGTAAACACTCTTGTACAGATGCAGCAAGTTAAGTTAGTAAATCAATTTTTGTTCTAGCATTTGTCTCAGCAGTTGGTCCTTTCTGCTTCTTTTACTACAACTGCCAGCACTGTGTTTCTAAAGGCCCATAGAGGAAAATTATTCTAAATTGTTTAAATAAGAAAACAGATGGAGAGGAGTAATATGAGGTGTATGAGTGTGCACATGCAGTGAGATTAAAGAGCGGAAATGGGGATATGGGGATGCCAGCCACACCAAAGAGGGTTTGAGAGCTTCTCTTGAGTGTGGAAATGGAAAGTGAGACTTTTAAGCTTCTCCAGTACAGAAGTTTACACTCTCCCATGCAATCCCCCAGGGGTGACTGGACCTCTGAATGGAAGGGTGGGTGGGGTAAACAGTATCATGAAAAGCAAACACTGAACTCTGACGCATGGGAAGAGCACCTCAAGCCCAAATTTTGCCTGGAAACAGAATGAAACAGCCTTGAAAGGAATTTAACTGTTTGTTCCAGGAGGTCATCAGAAACAACTGTGAGCTAAAGTCAAAGGGGCTCTCAAAACAAGGATCTCTGTAAAACTCCCAGGAACTGTTCACTTACCCAGGGTAGTGGAAGAGAATGCCAAAATATAGATGAGGGTGCATTATCAGTCAAACAAGAGGGTGAGGATCTCAAGAGAGTTAACATTAGTGCAGAAGAAGAAAGGACTGTGATAATAAAGTGGCAGGCGAACCAAAATGGATTCCTACTCCTTACATTAAAAAGGTTGTGGCGGGGCGCAGTGGCTTACTCCTGTCATCCCAGCACTTTGGGAGGTGCAAGGGACACATATCACAATGGCAGGAGTTCGAGACCAGCCTGACCAATGTGGCGAAACCTGGTCTCTTAAAATACAAAAATTAGCTGGGCATGGTGGCGTGCACCTGTATTCCCAGCTACTCAGGAAGCTGAAGCAGGAGAATTGCCTGGATCCAGGAGGCAGAGGTTCCAGTGAGCTGAGACTGCACCACTATACTACAGCCTGGGCAACAGAGTAAAATTTCATCTCAAAAAAAAAAAAAAAAAGTTGATGACCAGGCTCTTCACAGTATTATGATGGTCTTTTTTTTTTTTTAAACATTTATTTATTTATTTTTATTCAGTCTCCATAGAGACTGCCAAAAAATGTTAATGCTGACTACACAGTAAGCCATCACAGCAGGGTATTGGGAAAAGTTTTCAAAGCTATAATCACACGTAGGATAAGACTCATTGGCTGTGATACTGCCACTGCGCAAAGCTATGATGATCTTTCCATATGTTAACATGACTAGGCTACACTTCCCAGTTATTTAATCAAACATTAATCCAAGTGTCACTTTGAAGGTATGCTGTAGATGTGATTAAAGTCCAAAATCAGTTGACTTCAAGTAAGGGAAATTGTCCTAAATAATCTGGGTGGGCCTGAATTCAATCAGTTGAAAGGCCTGAAGAGCAGAGCTAAGGTTTCCTGAAGACAAAAGAAATTCTGCCTGTGACAGCAGCTTCAACTTGTGCTTGAGGCTTCCAGTCTCTCATCTTCACTGCCTGCCCTACAGATTTCAGACCTTCATAGCCAGAGCCCACATTTGCATAAACCAATTCCTTGTGATACATTTCTCCTAAAATGTACCTTCTACTGGAGCTGCTTCTTTGGTTGACCCTAACTAATACACCAACAGTTCAACTTTTCCTCATAGAAAAGGTACAGTAATTTAGAGCAGTAGTTTGCAAAGTGCTTACTGTAACCTATAGAGGTTTTGAATCAATCTAATAGGTCATAAAGAGCATTGGGAAAAGTAAAATAGAAAAGGAGAGAATAGAAAAACATCCGCATTCATTGTAAGTAGTAAGAGGACATATTGTACTTCAGAACTTTTGGTTTCAAATATACACATACATATATGCATATGTAATATACTACATCTCAGTATACATGGTTTTGGTTTAGAGACTAAAAGAACGGTAGCACTTAAGAAATAGTGAAAAAGTCAAAGCAGGGAATACAGGCTTCTCAAACTACCGAGCCTGTGAATACTGAATACAGATATAGAAACTACCCTTCACACCTTCTGTTTTGATCCCTTGATTCTTACTTCAAATCCTTATTAAGCACCAGCTCACTGGTTGGCACTGTGCTCAGTATTGATAATACCTTATTAGGCTGGGGGTGGTGGAACATACCTGTAATCCCACTACTTTAGGAGGCAAAAATGGATGGATCACCTGAGGTTAGGAGTTCAGGACCAGCCTGGTCAACATGGTGAAACCCCTTTTCTATTAAAAATACAAAAATAAATAAATAAATAAATAAATAAATAAATAACTGGGCATGGTGGCAGGTGCCTGTAATTCCAGCTACTCAGGAGGCTGAGGCAGGAGAACTGCTTGAATCTAGGAGGCAGAGGTTGCAGTGAGACAAGGTTGTGCCACTGCACTCCAGCCTGGGTGACAGGAAAAAAAAAAAGAAAAAAGAAAGTACTTTATTAATCTCAGACCTGTGATTGTAAACAACATAAAGGCTGCAATAAAGGGATGTGGGCCATGCTATGGAAGCACACAGTAGAGACATCTAAGCCTACCCGGCAGGACAAGTGAACAAGAAAGAATTTATCAGGCAAATCTGAAAGCAAAGACTTCAGCCAGCAATGGTTAGAGTCAGCAAATAATAAAGCAGGGTGGGGGTGGTATGTGTGGCAGGCATTCTGAGAGGAAGACTAGCGTGTGCATGGCAGAAATCAGACAGAAGAACAGAATAACAGGACAGGAAGTAAGCCAACATGGCCAAGGCCACAGCGGTGAATGAATGGGAAGAGATGGTACAAAAATAGGTAAGGGAGCTCTGTGGCACAGTTTGTCTTTCAGAGAAGGGGAGTTTATGAAGATTAGAGAAAATCAGAACTAAAAAGAAAGAGAGGAGCCAGGAGTTCTAGGAAACCTCTATCTTCAGCCCTTTTGGAGGACTTTTTAGTGGGAGTTTAGGCCTCTCAGAATACTAAGAGATTTTTCTCAAATGATCCTGGTGATGGGGCCAGTCATTTGTGCAACAGCAGAAGGAAGGCAAGAATATGATCGCAATGTCCTTGCAAAAGGAACAAAGGCAGTATGAATCTCAGAAGGCCATGAGGAAATGAAGGTTGTGAGAACTAAAGTTCCTACTGGAGAATCAGTCAGACACATGAGGGAGAATGACAGCAACAAAAGCCCTTCCTTTGCCAAACACATCTCTTAAGTTTTTAGGGTGAAATTATATAAAATACATGCATTGTAAAGGCCTATCTAAAATCCAGTATTTCCACAGTGTGCTGGGTCTCATAAAAAGAGAATTCATAACTTGAGGTTTAGCACTATCTACTAAGAGTCAAATAATAAAACAAAGGTTGCGCAATTTTATATAATCTCAAATAGCTTCAAATGCTGATAGAGGTTTTAAAAAAAATGTTTTAGCAAGCATTTCTAGCACTGAGACATATGCAGTACAACCAAAAATTTTAATTTCTGTAAAGGTCACAAGTAAAATATGCTTCATTTTTAAACTCTTCAAGCTAAGGCCAGACATCACATGGTAGGGGGAAAAAACCCTGCAAAACAAGACAAGCACAAACAACTAATTGTTAGGGAAAGCATATATACATGAGGACACTGATGCTGTGGTACAAGGCTAAGCTTGTAAACCTAAGACTAGACTTACAAAAAATCTTCACTGCATTCTGGGCAGCTATCATACAAGTTAAAAAATAATCACGTTACCCTTATAAAGCAGGAAAGACTCTGTTTTCTTATAAACAGATTGTCCCGTCCATTTAGACTTCTTCAAGAACTACAGTCAAATGTAATGAACCAATTCTAGATCATGACTAAAAATGTCAACATACAGCTAAATCTACAAATGGTATCTGTCTCGTGTTCCCCTTACTTATTGGAAAAACTTGAATGGTGGAAGTCCTTTACAGGAAACAAGATAATAAACTATCTTTTTTAAAACATGTCGAGGACAGTGTTATCACATTGTTCTTAGTGTTTTTGAAGTGAAAACTGCCACTACTTCCGTCAGCATATGATTAATCGTTGAACCTGGGGATCACTGACCTTGAATCACATTAACTTTGACCTCATATATCTTTTAATTGAACGAATGGTTTTGTAAATATTGTGTAAACCACCATACTTCTTAATCAGTTGTCACCAGCCTCAGCAACCATCCACATAAAAGTACAAAAAGAAAACTGGTAATTTCTCTGTTAAAATAAATAAGTGAATGCTCTGTAATCAAAAAAGAAAATGCATCAATCATCCGCACTTCCTACCTGGGTTCCTGATTCTGTATAGATAGTTCATACTTCTGGACCAGTTAGATGCCTTGATAGCACCCTCAAATTTAAAGTACCCAAAAGCAAAATTATAGTGTCTCCCATTCTGTCCTCTGTAAGGTCTCTCATGTTAGAGGACAATAGGATCCTTCTGGCCACATAGGCTTGAAAGGGCAGTAAATCACACAACAAAACTTCCTCTTCACCTCCTACACGCCCACATGAAATTAGTAAAAATAGCCCTTTTATTCCTATCCTTTTTTTTTTTTTTTTTTTTTTTTGATATGGAGTCTCCCTCTGTCGCCCAGGCTGGAGTGCAGTGGCATGATCTCAGCTCACTGCAACTCCAACCACCTCCGCCTGCGTTCAAGCAATTCTCCTGCCTCGGCCTCCCAAGTAGCTGGGATTATAAAATCCTGCCACCATGCCTAGCTAATTTTTGTATTTTTAGTAGAGACGGAATTTCACCACTTTGGCCAGGCTGGTCTCAAACTCCTGACATCAAATGATCCACCTGCCTCTGCCTCCCAAAGTGCTGGGATTATAGGCATGAGCCACCACGCCCAGCCTATTTCTATTTTTAAAAGGATTCTTTTTCTAATCACTCCTTCCTATTCCTTCTGCCTACTACGATTCCTAATAAGTTATCCAGCAACTTATGATACACCACATATAAGTGCCATTCTTAAAGCCTGGCTCTAATCACATCACTGTGGGTCAGGAAACAGCACTGGAAGATGGGATGGAGAGAGAGAATGAATTTATAAATGATTTTAAATTTCTTGTGTATACTTTTTTGTACTTTCCAAATTCTATATAATGAGCAAGTACTACTTTCTAATGGAGATGGAAAAGAACACAAAAACACCTCTTAAGTTTCTCCATATTACCTGGAGAATATAGTTAAAACATGCAGACATCCAAAGTTCTCTAAGATCTGGCTCCAGCATACATGACCAGACTTTACTTAATGCTACTCTTTCTTTCATTCACCCTATCATACAAAAGTTGTTACTATTTTGTTATGTGTTTGTTAAGCTTTCTTTCATATTTTTTGGTCTCTCTTATAGATTTATTACATTATGCTATATATTGTATTTATCTATGACCACAGTTTTTATTCAAATAAAGTCAGCTGCTTTGGAGTGAGGCAGAGTCTTATCTATCAGTTAAATGTTCATAATACAATGTTTTAGAAGCAATGGGTCTTTTATAATTGTCAGTGAACCATATAAGGTTGGTACCTTAAATCCAAACCACTTCTGAACAAAAGAAAAGTGACCTGTGAGAGGTAACAACTCACCAAAGGACAATAATAAAATTTATAACTTCAAAACAAGTCTTATACACAATTCAGGCTGCATTCTAGAAAACATGACTTAATAACAAAGACTTAATGATTATTTGTGTCAGGAATCAAGTATTACCAAAAAAGGAACATTTATTAATATTACCAAAATTAATTTTTGTATATGGTAGACAATATAAAAAAAAAAGTGTACTCTCCTTTTTAAGGATTAGGTTGTGTTGTTCCTGGCAAGAAGTTTTATAATGCTTCTGTTTTTTGATCATTTTAATGTGACTGAGTAGACAATCTAATTTGGAAGAACTTATAATTTACTTTTTTAATGTATTTTGAAATGCTAAAATAAAATTATATTAGAAATAGTACAGTCAAGGGTAATTAGCTTTACTGATGTGGATGAAAGTGTATTATTTGGGTTCTCAGGGTGAAATAAAGAGCTGGCAAGAAGAATTAAAATACTTATAAGTATTTCAATTGTTGCTGGAGAATGGATTTAAATATGTAAATATATAAAAGTGGTTGGCTCCCTTTGCAGCCTTGAGTGCAGCATCTATCTTTAGGTGAGTAGGTCCAATTAAGGCTTTAATGTCCCACAACTATGGCAGATTTGCTGATTAAAATACAGCAGTCACTTTTACAGTTTTGCA